GAATTTGATTATAGATTAGATTCAACATTGTACAATGATACAAAACAACAATGTATTTTACTTTTATATTGTTGTTTGTGTTGTACAAAATGCCTCATCTGATCTTAGTTGGGAATGATCAAAAGTAATGCATCACGTGTTTCGTGCTACACGCGTGATTATTTTTGAATCGGCAACAACATTCATTAAAAATTTAATATCAAAAAAAAATAACTATTCATGAACAAATTAAAAAAAAAAATAAAAGGATACGACTAAAATTGCTCGAAATAATGCGATCTAAGCAAAATTTTTTTTTTGCTCCATTGCTTATGATCGCCACTGTATAATTGAGATGTTATTTGTTTTATTTTTGACAAATTTAAAATAAATCACATTGTACTTACAGCTCTTCAGCTAAGCTCTGTGCTTTTGTTGCCCATTCATCGCCAGGCATAACTTTCAATAATTTCTCTAAGTCAGAAAATGATTCATTATATTTTTTCAATATATAATATATTTCTCCTCGATATCTTAGTGCTATTATGTTATCTGATTCATTTTCTAGCAATTTAGTTAAATCTTCAAACGCTTTATCATATTCGCCAGTAAGGTAAAATATTTTTCCTCGATGGCTCAATTCAAATACATTACTTTGCCCTTCTTTTAATGATTTGGTCAATTCATCCACATTTAGATCAAAAATATTAAAATTTATCCAGTTTTTTTCACAGAGATGATTTTTTACCGAGATCATCGTTAGCTATTGCTATTCATAACGATAAGAGATATTATTAAAGTTATGAATATGTTTAAGCAATAATAAAAATGTAAAAAGCTAAATATAGTTACCTAAATATTCATATTGTGATCTTAATCCAATGCAAGGATACAAATTATTTTATAATTCATCGGGTAAATAGCATGCAATTCCTTGAAACAACAAATATTACATTTAATTAATTAAATTAAATTAATTAGAAAAGATATATACTTAGGTTTACACCATTTTTAGTATAAAATATCTTATTCCGAAAATTTACATAGCATCCAATTGTGTCACTACTAGTATATGGCTGCCCCTGTGGCAACCCGTATGGCTCGCAGCTTCCGGAACAATAAATAAGTGATGAAGGCGAGTCATCACAAGTCACGGTTACGGCAAAGTAATAAGCTATTTTGGTTAACGTTTTAAATATTTTGAATGAATATAGCTTTACAACTATTCAACCACATTCAATGGATTTTTATTTATTTTTTATTATTTACTTCTACATATCTGTAGAATTAAAAAAAAAAAAAACAAATTTTGTGGAGCACGAATAAAAAATTTAGAAGTATGAATATCTACCTCTCATTGAAAAACATTATATGAGCCAGTATCTACTGTTATATGGCTTCAGGACTTTTGACTATTTATGTGGTTATATTCTTGAATAAATGCTCTATTCATAGCATGATTTTTGTCGCGAGTATTATAATTCGTTACAGCTCTCAATCAAAGTCAATATATTTTAAATATCAACATTATATAAATGATTAAATATTGATTTTGAATTTAAGAATTTACCTTCGAAACCCGCAAGGGTAGGCACTGACCAATTTTAAAAAAACATTTGTAAAAAAACATTCATTAAAAAAACATAATACTAAAAAAAAGCATTAAACAAATTATATTATTGGCCAATGCTGATTTATAAATTCTGGACATTAATAGTTAATTCGCAAAATAAATAGAAAAAGAAGAAATTTAAATCAAAAATCACAAATGACTAAAATATAAAGTAGTTACTCGTAACTATGTATTAATAATAAATCTTCCGGGTGCGAATGCTACCTTAATATTAAAAGAATTATATAAAATATATTACAGTATTACCCACAATAAAATTCTCAAAAGCTAGAGTCATTAATTAAACGTTAACAGTAAGGGGATTGATAACAAAAAAATAATAATAAGTGACTAATTCAAATTCAACTTATTTAATAATTTAATCCTTATACAAAATTAGACCAAAATTTTTATAAGCTTAGGGCTACAAAAATAAATAAAAAATAAATAATTAAATCTATATATTCTCTACCAACATCGTCAATTACTAGTTGGAATTATTGATCGACAATACACCAATCAATAATCTCATCCCAAGCAGTAAAATATACCATATGTCCCAACTTTTCAACAAAACAAGATTCACATCCATCAATTTGATCAGCAATATATTTACCCATAGCAGCAGTAGATCCATAATCTTCTTCACCATGCCAAACTTTACATTTAACACCTCTTTTTCCATCTTTTCCTTTCCCAATATCACTTAAATTAAATCCCCAATCCTTTCCCCATAAGCTATATTCCCAACATTCAGTTTCTTCTTGGCCTCTAGAATACAATTCTAAAATACTTTTAACAAATAATTCTTCAATTTCAGGATATAAGTTGTACACTTCCTTATCCGCTGGTGGACCGAGTATTTGAATTTCAGAAGATGCCTTTATTGGATTACTTAATGCAGATTTTGCTTCAAGACGTACTATAATTGACAATATACTAGGACTATTTTTAGTTAACCACCTTAATAAAATAAGAAAGCGATAATTATTATAAAAGAAAGATGTTAAAACAAAAGTTTTTATTCGTTTAATGAAAATAAGAATTACCAAGCAAATTTAAGTCTCCAATCCATGGCTTTTGTCGCATTTGTAGCATGATATGGAGCAACAGAACTAATAAATGCAGCTTTACTAAGTGTAGGACAATCCTCATTATCATCTGGTTTACCTAGAACGGACCTCCTGCGGAATAAGCCATTAAAGAAAATTTTTTAATATTTTTTTGTTGACAAAATTCTTTTATGTCATTAGCAAAATCGATAAAATTTCTTTTAGCAAATGTCGAAAGTCCAATTCCTGGTCGTTCTAATACAAATAATCTTATTAACGCTTTGTTCTCATTCTCATTAATAATAATATCCTCATCGTCAGTTTTTGATAGTATTGAAGGATGAGTAAAAAATCTTGAACCAGGTAATCCGGGTATTAAAAAAATCACAAATTCTTGATTGCGTAGATATATAGTATTGTCAGTAAGCGTGTGGGAAAATTTGTATTCTTTATATCCCAATAATCTACCATCGCTCAAAGTAATAGTTTCACCATCATCGTTGATTGGAAATTTTGATGCTACTAAATGAGGGTATTTCAACTTTGAAGTTGAAGAGCCCATCTTTTTTTTTCTTAAACATTGACATTGGTCGGTAATTATACGTACGTATTATTGATACATACATGCTGTACTAAGTGTAACAAAAGTGCCAAGAAAAAGATCGACATCAGACTAATCCCGAATTATATAATTGATTGATTTGCACAATCCAGTTATTGTACAGCTGATGAAGTCCCCTGATTCTTTGGGTGTACACAAATAACAAATAATTACATTATCAAACTTTAAGTCCTTTCTACCAAAGTGAACATTCCGGTCAAGATTTTAAAAAAAATTTGCTTCGACGGTGAATTTAAAGGGTTATTGCTCATTTTATGCTACAGCAAATTACTTTATTAAATTAAGCAGTAGCTTTGCAAGCCTTTAAATTATAAATCAGTGCATTAAAATTGATTTATAACAGGTTTAACGATTTGAAAGACTTGAAACAAATTATATGATGTTGGCCTAATATCCAGCACGTTATGTATATGAAGTTAGAAAAGGGTCAGATTTTTATTTTAAATAAGAAATATAATATAATATATATCCTTGAATTTTTAATCTCATTATAGACAATTAAAATTTTAAATGTTAAAATTTAGACTATATCCTTTATAAAAAAGGTTATTTTTAAGAACCTGAATATTCGCTAGTATTTCACAAGGAATCTCAAATATTCTACAAAAATTATCACAGTAAAAATGAAGATTGTACGTTTATAACACCACTGCCTACGCTATTGATTTAATAGTTTACAATTGGAAAAATTTTCCTAATTGAATAGCATTTTATCAGTGCAAGATGAAACTAATAAGGTTAGCTAGCTATTTATATAAACAAATATTGGCTTATACTAATAAATGCCAGGCATAATAATCCATCTATTTTTAGGCCACTCCTCTCCAAACTTTTCTCTTCCCCATTTTTCAGAATTTTTAGCAATAATCCCCAAACAAACAGTTGTCCAAATAAAAGTTAGCCAGATAGTTAAATTAAATCCTTTAGTAAGAATTACAAAGCTAAAATAAATTATAATTTCAGCTGTATA